TTTGTCTACAAAGAAGGTTTAATTAACAGGAATGTCCCACAATGTAACAGTGACAGCAACAGTGGCCTAAAAACCCCCAAACATTTTCTTCTAAGAGATTCATTGGATGATTTTTCTTTTGATGTAAAGATTTGTACACATTTTAAACTGTGAAAGCAGTGTTCTCATTCCACGAAAGTGTAATAAACCCATTTTTGCCACTAAAACCAACAATTAATATTACATTTTATCCTCCCGAGTCGGTTCCTGCGTGTTAAAAGTTTTCCCCAGTGGATGAAAGGGTTAGTTTGAGTCAAAAAACGGGCTCCGACTGCAGTTTGTAGCCACTCCAGTTCTTGGCCTGATTGTTAGAAGCTGCACCATCTGTAGTTCTCAGCGCTTACCTGGGAAAGTGAAATCTGGAGGCTTGTGACTGGGAGGTCTAATCTGAATCTGGCTAAGATTTAACCTCAATGCATGATCTCGTCTATGCAAATAAGATATAAATACCATAAACTAACTGTCCTGCAGCAAACTGACTTTCTGGGGTCACTGCTGGTTGGAGGGCACGTTTTACCAACTCGGCTATGATGGCGTCAGCGGGAATACCGAAATATTTCAGCCGATCCCCGACCCTAGTAAACACCACACACATAACAAACACAATCTCACTGTTAAGCATTTCTAATCACGTTCCGAGTGAGAATCGTTTTGTCCTCGGCCTGCTCTCCTCTCTCGGCCTAAAGTCGTTTTCTGTGTGATGAATCCGCAGAGGCTGCAGCTGATCACACTGATTTATACGCACCAGTAGACACTCTTCATTATAATTAATAACCCTGCAGTTCAAAGCTCTCTATTACTGAACCACAAGAGAGCTGCAGGCTGAGCTCTGCAGCTTAGAGCATGCATGCAACAACCACAAACACTCGTGCATACACAAAGCTCACAAGTTAAAAAGCTCTTGGCTGTTAAACCACGAGGGAGACTTGCTCAGCCTGACAGATTTAACCCTACACAGGATTAACCCATAAAATTATCTCGATGACCAGGATGTTGCCTCAGAGAAATAGAGGGGGAAAAGCAACAAAGAAAATGGGACGGGGAAATGAGAGCGATTCATCGTCTCTTTCTCTTCTAGTAGGTCACACGTGCCTTTAGTGACTTGTCAGGCACCAAGTCTCATCATGGGTTAATAGATGCATGGAGAGAGTTTAATTCTTCATGCAGGATGGAAGTGATTTAAGTAATAACAAGAAAAAAAGATGAATATAAAAGCACAGAAAGGTGAAGTGGACAGCACATGGAAGCAGAGAGATGGAAACAGATCAGGTTGTCTGCAGGCTCTCTCAGTACTTTTTTCTCTGGCTTTTACAGTCAAACTGCAGTTCACACTGGTGTCTATTCAAAGCCGTAATGTACGTACTGAACACTTTAAAAGGATTTAATAAAACACATTCAGTGTAATTTCTTCTGTACAATAGAGCTGAAAATGTTTGAATGTTCTAGAAATGCTGAACTGAATGAAAGAAACATCTGAATGCTGCAACAAATCATCTAAAAGAATCTTAAACCTTTGTTTCTCACTCGCACCACTGTTCGAATGAAGCAGGTTAACATGAAGCCAATTAGCAAGCTTTAAAGATGTTCACTTTTTCTCCAAATCTGCTTTTTAATATCTTGTGATGTTCAGCTCTTACTATACTCACATCTTCAAACTTGTTTACTTATAGATTTCAGCAGCAGCATCACAGCTTTATTTGCGGTTTTAATTGCAGCGATTGCAAACGGAGCTTTTTCACCTCGCTGCTGGTTTACATTTAAAGCTCTCCACCAAACCTTTGGGGGGCTTTTATTGTAAAGCTGCGGTAGACAATACAACTTAGCCACGAGTGCGATTAGAAGAGCTTTCTAAGCTATGCTCCTTGTGAAGGAAGGAAAGTAGAAAAGAAAGAAAAGTTTCTATTTAGTGAGCACAGGTTCAATAATTGCATTATCTTTACTGCTACCCTGCAGTGGGCTATTCCAAAATCCACCACTTCCAGTTAATAAAAAGCCTAGACACACTCTTCACATGAAAAATTCCAGATTAGTTCAGGGCGTGCAGACACCCGGTTACGACAGCAGCAGTGCAATGGCTTCAGTGTCGGTAAGTCATGCAACGTTCAAACAGAGGAAAAAAAAGACAGAGTCCAGCCTGGTGGAGCGTGCTGTTAGCTGGCCTCCAGTCACCGACTCACTGCCTGCAGTGGAGGAGGAAGCAGCAGCAGCGGGGGGCAGAGCCCCACCCGAGTTGGTGAGAGAGGAGGAGGAGCTAAGCCCTATGTGGGTGGGGCTAGAGAGAGTTTTGGCAGCAGTGGCGTCATTGTGCTGGCTGACGACGGACGGCTGGCGGCGCAGGGCACCGGGCACCGCCGCCTGGCTCGTCTGGAAGGTATAGACCACATCCATCTGAAGGAAGGACAGTCACAACACACTGTTAGAGAGCAGAGAGAGCAAGAAGACAGCACAGAGGAACAGACTTCTGCAGAGGTTAGAGACAGTGCAGTCTGACCTTTTAATTCATTCGGACGTAAAGAAGAGGTAGCGCAAGTACAGCGATGAAGACAAGCACATCTGATTAAATTACTCAATTTCAGGGTAGTTTACATTTAGTGTTAGCTGGCAGGAAACAGTGCAATGGCATTAGCTGATAAAATGTTGTGCATCAATCTACAATGAGACTCATCTATGTCATGCTTTGCTGCTAACAGCGTGACTGGGACTGTATCAGTCTGAATATGTCACACATTCAGTGGTAAGATTTAAAATTGTCCTGACAAAAGGGTGACGCTATGTGTTCAATGAAAGTTGGCACAGATTCTGAGCCTTTCCCTCTCATACTGACTTGAATTAATCATCCAACCACAGATATCAAAACTGTAAAAAAATCATCTGATCAAAACCAACTAATATTTCATTTCATTCATCAAGATCAGTGCCGATGAAATAGACGGATTTTATTAAGTGGATCCTTTCTTTATTTTCTGTCATGTATGTATACACCGATGCTGGATGATCATTTTAAACTTTGCAAAGTTTCAAATAATGGATGATTTTGAATTGTGAATCATGGAACGCTTCTCTGCCAGAAGCTGGGTATCATACTGTCCCCACGCTGAATAGACTGTATCCAGCATTTCAATTCAACAGTTAGTTTTACTGAAAGAAAACAAATGGACATTATGGCAGTAAGAAACTTTCTGATTTTCCATTGAGGTATTTCTTGCATATTTAGTACATTTGTTAAAGAAAAAGCAAAATAAAATATCAAATCTTCCAGTTGGATAACCTCTGCAGTCCTTATCTGTGCTGCTGCAATACAGAAAAACTGAGCTACTGACACTTTTAGCAGGTAGACACACTAGAATATGAAGGAGAAACAAAGATGAGAAAGAGATCAGGACAGAGGAGAAGTTGTAACAGCAAGGAGAAGTTTGAGAGCTGTCATTTAGTTAGTGTCAAAATGTGAAAATCCTCTGACAGAACGAAGGGATGAAGAAAGAAACGGAACAGTGAATAAAGAGCTTTTGAATCAGGCTTACGGCACTCTGAGAGAGAGAGAGAGCTGAGACAGGAGAAAGAGAAAAGTGTCATTTGGAATGACTGATAAAGTTTCTGCAGCGAGGTGCTGCATGTAGCAATTATTCCCCCTCTGTGTCTGACTGTTGAGGCGTTGAGCGGCACAACACTGCCCACCAGGATTAGAGAGGAAGAGGACAGGAAGAGGAGCGTGGAGAGATAAGAACCTAATTAGCTTGCAGCCTTTCGTCGCCTCCCTCTCCATCCCCGCTTCCTCCCATCCTCCCATCCCGAGAGGACAACACACTGATATTACAGATACACAGCCACAAAGGGAAAAAGGAGAGCATCCTGAGTTCTGTACAGCAGATCCGATGGCAGACAGAGAGAAGTGGAGGAGAAACATCCGCCTTTCACGACACCGATTTACATGGACCGGGTGAAGATTATCGTAAACCGCACACGTGGATCAGGGTTTTCCGCTCCACCTGAAATCACACTTGCCCTCGCCTGTTCATTTGTACCCGCTCTGAAGCTTTCAATCAGATTATGTGATGAATGAGCATTTTAACCTCTAGACATTTACCAGCTCACCGGTAACACATCGATGGTTAGGGTTTTGTTTTCGCTTCATGCAAAACAGGCACGTTTTAAATGAAGTATCATTTATTAAATTTGATATTACCAGATTTTCCTACAGTTCCTATATGAAACCACCGACTTACTAAATAATTCATTTGTATTCTTACAGTTTTAGTCTGTTTGTGTGATAGATAGTGTATTTTGGATGTTTAATAGTCTACTTTCCAGTTTTTTTCTGAACAGCTGTTGAACACTTTGGCCATCACCTGCTGTTTTAATCAAGGTATAATGTATAACACAATAATAAAAAGGACAAATGATGGAGAAGCACCAGAGCTCTGGATTAAGAAGCTACACTTATTTGTTTTGGTGTTTTATTTGGAAGAGATCTGGTTTAAAATGTCTTATTTTCTGTCAGTTACAGAATTGAGTGAAGAAGCAGAGAGTCAGTGTTTCTGCAGAGGTCAAACTGAGAAACTCAAGACGACAAACCAGAAAAAATTCGCTATTATTATTTCAGACCTGGTTACCCTCTGGCCTCAGTAAGTACAAGCAAGCCCACTGGTAAGAGGAAAACACCTGACCTCGCTGACTCCATGTGTGCGCGCGTGGGAGCAGAGCGATGGCTGCTGTTACTGTAAGTGGGCGTTAGCATGGAGGCTAATGAAGCCCACAGAGACTGAATGGAACTGCCCGTGGACATGCTAAAGCTCAGTGAGCTGTCCTGTAGGAGGAGGATAACACAGACAAGTTCCAGCGTACAAGAACAGCCACTAGTAAGAACACCAGCTAGATTTCTATCCAAATGCAATGTAGCATGAAGTTAGTTTACTGACATAATAATTCACTAATAACACTTACTCTCCAATTCTGATGGAAGAAAAAGATGATAGCATTCGTGTTTTAAAATCCGGTTTATCTCTTCCTCTGATTAGAGGAGTGTTAACTCTTGTTTTTTCTTTGTCCTTCGTGCTTTTTTTGCTCTCGGTCGCTCTTTTTGTTTACTTTGTGGTTTATTTTGTGACTTTTTTTCCCCCTGACCCATGTTATTGGTTTGATTGCGTCTTATTGCTTTCTTTTTAACCCCTCTCTCTTCCTTGCTGTCTGAATTTCAATCAGTCTTTGCCAGGCTATTGCATTTTCAACTTCCTCTTGTTCCTCAGTCTTCCTTAGATTCACCCCATGTTTTAGATTCAGTGCTTTTTTTTGGGGCTAACCAGCCTAATTGTGCTGCAGGTTTTCTAACTAACTTTCTCTTTACCCTTTCTGCCTGTCTGTCTCCGTGATTCTGTATTTGGGTCAACCTTGCGGTCTTTCAGAACTGTTCCTAAAGATTTGCTCACTAAATCTGGTTTTGTTATTATTTAATCAGTAACTTTTTCAAAAAGCGTGACTTTTTAATTTCTTGCGGTTTCCCTCAGGTTACACAGGAATTGAAAGTCCGGATGGAAACAGGTGGATGGAGACACGCTTGCTGACATGACTGATTAATTTACTGACTAATTAAAGTACTCAGGAAGGTTTCTGCCGCTGTAGCCGTCTTTAATTTCTGTTTTTTAATAAAGTGGTTCTGTGCCGAAGCTCTGCAGCAGAGTGTGAAATTGACAGGACAACATGCAGTTGAGTGTGTGTGTTTAATCTTCAGTTCAATTCCCCACACACACACACACACAGACACACAGTTTTATGTAACAGTGTGTGTCACAGAGGTGCCGACATGAAGCTGCAGTCGGAGATACAGCTACAGTAAACTTTTATCGAGAGTTCTGGTTGACTGCACTATGTTGTACAGTATACATATGAGAAAGACTCTACAGGCTTCATTTGGCGTCTGATCTGAGATGGATGCTGACAGAGTTTAGAGGCTCCACATGGAAAGTTTGCAGAGCCAATCAGGCTTTGCAGCACAGCTCCACGCACTCGTTAAATGTAGATACTGTGCTTTCTGTATATATTTTTTCTCCTAAGCGGCGGTCAGCTTGACTTCAAAGATTTTTTTTACACCCTCCAGCTGTTAATTTCACCGTAAAGCAGTTTGATGCAGTTTACCACTTACTGTCTATGTCACTAAGAGATGGTAAGGAGATTTCCATGTATCTTAAAAAAGGTCATTTTTTCTTTTCTTGCAACGAGAAGAGAACGGCAATAAGAAAAAGGATGTATTGTACTGTGAGAGCGCAGAAAATGTGTAGAGCATTTTATGTTGAATGAAAGTGAACTTGTCGTTTTGCAACAGAGTCTGGCTGGTCATCAGTGGTGATAAGCCGATGCTTGAGGTGATGTTCTGCTTGAAAAACACAAATGATGTTCGAGAGATCTGAAATAAAAACTTTGGTAAGGAATTTGTTGATTGTGAACCAGATGAAAAATAGACCCGGCTGTTGGATTCCATCGATTGTGATGCATTCAGGTGTCTGCTGGAAAAAATATTTTTATTAAAGTCTCTCTTTGTCATCTTGATGAGAGAATGCCTCTCAAACAACAATTCAGATAAGACAATAGACCAAAAACAAAACAAGCCCTCAGCCGTTGCCATCAAAGGGGGAAACTGATAACAGAAGTAAACTGCAGGAGGTGATAAAGTTAGACATGTCGAGGAGCCAAGGCAAGCATACCTGTGTCTGGATGCGGTTCAGACCTCTGAACCAGAGAATCTGGCCTCTCCTCAGCTCCATCTCGGCGTGGTCGATCTCATCCGTGCCTTCGTTCAGCTCCTCCTCGGGAATCTCCTCCTTTGTGATACCGTGACCGGCCTCCTTCAGGAACTTCAAGTGGTGTGTGGGGATGGCCGAGATCAGCTGAGGTTGAGAGAAAAAACCATCGTCAGCAGATCAGATCTGGTGGTGTTTACAGCAAATCAGCAGATGAAAACAGCTGACAACATAACATAACATAACACATCGATGGTCAAACTAATAAAAAGTTTTATGAATATATAAAGACAGCCTGTGCTACAGGACGAGTTTAAAAGATGTATGAGAACTGCATTATGGGAAATGTAGGATCCTTTGGAGTGTAACTGATTAAAGTCCTCACAAGTTAATAATTCACGTGTTAATATGTGTAGTGTATAATGACTCGAAAATAGACAAAAAGCAGGGTGTGCAGGGTGCTTTCCCAATCTGGGACCAAGACATGTGAGACAACAGGACTAAGGTGTTACTAAGACGTTGTAGGAAGTATTTTGGGTAAAGTTTGGCAAATTTATTTTAAAAGATAAAAAGCTAACAAATGAACTCATTACTTATCAGCGCTTTCATTTTTTTTTTTTTTACTAACAAGCAAAATGTTAGCACTGAAGCTTGATTTGACCTCAATTTTAAAACATAATATACAAAAACTAATGAAGCACCATTAACTTGTAACTTGGTTATGCAATCATTATTTTCCTATTGCTGGTGAACTATCTGTTCATGGTTGTTAAAAGAGAGCGGAGAGACACCCAGCATCCTGCTGGAGCTGCACATCAGCTTTTTATATCTCCGTCACCCTCCTCTCTCTCTCTCCGTTAGAAACAAAAGGTGTTTTTACCTCTTAAATAAATCACAGACTTCAGATGAGTCTGTTTCTGTCAGCATATGTCTGTCTCTCTGCCCTCCACCTGAACCCAGCAGACTAGCTATGACTGAACAGTTTTTCTGTGTGTTTGCATGCTAACAGGATCATGCGTGTGATGGCGTGTTCGTGCGCGTCCACAGAGGCGCTGACACGCCGGGTTTGTTTTCCCTCGGCCCTCGTAAACAGGAGTCGCATAGCTTTCATGTGCTGAGCTCATTACCATGGCGATGGTCGTGATGGCAACACCGCAGCAGCGCGAGTGTGACAGGCAACGGTTTTCTGCCATAAACCTCACATATCCACCTCTTCATCAGCTCCTGGGTACACGCTGCTTATTCTCACAGCTCGGGCTGGTGTTTGTTCTGCTCAGCTGTTTGTGCACTTGAGGTTTTTGTCTCACCTGTCCCCACAGCAGCTCTCCCACGCCGATGAAAACGCACCACAGCCACTGGTCGATGGTCAGAGCTGTGCAGGAGAACGGCTTTCCTCCGAACTGAACAATGACGATCTGGGAAGGAAACAAGCAAGCGGCATGTCAGCCGTGTGAACGGAGCAATAATAGTAAACTTTTAGTCGGCAGATCTGGTGGTTTAACAAAGTTATGTTAGACTATTCTATAGTGTGAGATTGGTAATACTTTTACTCATACATTAGTCCAATGCTAATGTTAAGGCAAATAAATGAGATGACAGGATAACTGGGGAAACTCCAAGTTCCAGTGTTACAGGTGGGAGAATCAGTGACACCTGCACTGACCACTGGCACCCAAAAGAGACAGAAACAACACAACTTCTTATTAACTACTAAGGTTTTTCGCCATTTGGGCACTACTTTTTAAATAATACCGAGGTGCGGTGTTAGTTAAATTGCCAATACCTTCTCTGTCATTTACAGTAATCATTAGCCAGCTAACTACAGAATCAACACGACCACCACCTTTCTATTGTCAACCTTTTGACACTTTGTCCCCCACACAGCACAGGCAACTGCTCATCTCGTGATCTTCCACCCGTTTTTGGTCAACATTTTGGATGTGTGTGATTCATCGTACCACCAGTTCTACTGTTAAGGTCTTAACCTGATGTGCTGATGTCTTCTTACCATTTCTAATTCAGTGAAAAAAAACCATCAGGTTTTCAGCTAAACTCTTTTAACCAAACTATATGCAGCAAAAATGCAGCTGCAGCTACTGAGACCATGAATCCATCCAGACTCAGCGGTAACATAACAGGAAAACCTTGGTAGCACTAAAGGATGGTGAAGGTGTTACCTGCAGAGCGAAGGTCCCCAGTACAACGCTGCAGAAGATAGGGTTCCTGTAGACACCTTCGAACACGTTCCTCTCTCCGTGGATCTTCCTGGCATTGATTTCGTTGAAGAGCTGCATCATGACGAACACATTGAACACGATGGTGTAGTGCTCTGACGGTGGGGAGTGCAAGGGAGTGTTTCGCCCACTGTCGATGTCGAAAAAGTTCTCACCTGATAAAAGATGAAGGAAAATACCCCAAAAATGTATCTCAACTGTTTCGACAATGATTAACAAACATCAGCGTCTTAGTATCAATGCATTACTGCAGAACCAGGTTTACACCCAACTTGGATGGAGTCAGACTCACCAGCGAAGAGCAGGGTAAAGATGATGACGAGCTGGTACACAGCATGGCCAAGTATGTTCTTCATCATGGTCCTGGAGATGAGGGGCTTGTCCCGACCGTAGGGTTTACGTAGCAGCAGAGACTCAGTGGGCGGCTCCGTGGCAAGAGCGAGAGATGCCAGAGTGTCCATGATGAGGTTGACCCAGAGCATCTGGACAGCTTTCAGGGGAGAATCCTTTTGGAGAAGGAGTAGGAGTTTAATTTACGAGAAGAGAATATAACATCAGGGATATAACGGAATACAAATATGATTCAGCAACCAAACAACAGGGAAACATACAAAAAAAAAATCTTTATGATCTTTAAAATGTTTTTCTGCAATTGCACCATGTCTACTCCCAGTTTGTGCTCCTGGTTGGGTCTGTTTGTGGACGTCTTGCAGACCAGCAAACTACAGCTTTGAAATTCCCACGTTTACAGCATGAGAAACTGTTTTGGTCTAATTTTCCTTATTGTGACAACTGGAATGGTGTGACTGGTTTCAAATTTTGTAAAGGTATCTCGTGATCAAAAGACCCTGTTAAATGCCACCTGCTTGAAAAGATGGACTTCAGTTCGAGTTCAGTTGGACTCGAATGTAGTATAAATGTGTATTCTTACTAGATGACTGAACTCCAATGCTTTCTCAATGACACAGTAACACACACGGTAAATAACAAACCTATAAAACATGTGAGAGGACAGTGTGACCACTACTGACAGAGGAGCTGAGATGCTGAGAAGAACTGATCATTCAGGGAGCATGCTCTGACACGGCACAGGGCAACGAGTGGCCTGCTGTCTGGAACAAATATAGAATCTCTGAGATTCAAAAAATGTTGCCACTGATACATAAGTTATTGTTTAAGAAGGTTCAGGGACCTCATGGTGGACACATCCCATTTTTCACATGGTGTCTATGGTTATATCTGAACTTCCACATATTGTTAGGATTGCATTGTTAGGAAACAAATATACGGGCAGGTTTTATACTGCTGTCACTGTGAGAACCATACTGTAAGAACTGATTTAATCTTAGTGCGTCTAACATCAAATGAGTAATTTAACTGCATAAAAAAAAAAGAGGAAAAAAAGTACACACACATTTCAAAGCACCCCTTCCACTTCTAAAACCCAGTTTACGCCTCTGGGTCCTGCCTCTGTTCCTCTGTACACACACCAAACACATAAATCGCCTTTTAATGATCTTTTCCGTGCACTAACAGAGACCGAGCGCCTGATGATCAGTGAGCAAAATCACAGCACAGAGACCACAGACCTGCTGAGTCCCCCGTTATATTTCAGGATTATGACGGTGACGTGTTGCCATGGTTTCAGGCTGAATCTTAGCCTACTTTGTGTTCTTCGCTCTGTAGTCGAGTTAGTTATCTGGTCTTGCCAGCTGTGAGCCTTTCAATTAATACACAGCCCCAAGACTTTCTTCTTTATTGTGTCAGGGGTTCAGCTTTCTGATTACAGGCACATTATGAAACAAAGAAAATGTGACACGGCCAACTCGCCTCCTCGCAGCACTGAGACGGTCACATCGAAATCACAAATTACTCTTTGTTTCAATGGATATTTTATCAAGCGGAGATTTAAAGATGTTTCCACAGTGTGCGACGAGGTACATCAAACACACCAGCCAGCCTCAAAATCGAATCAAAACAGGAGTTAATCAAAAGTATAAGTGAAGGCGATGTTTTTGCCGTTTTTGAATTTGAGATGAAAACCAGCAACGACACAAACACAATTTCACACGCTGTTTATACGCAAATAGCACACTAATATAAATAGTTTTACATTCAAAACTTTTTAAAATCTATACATTCAAAAGCATGTGATTCATTGATCACTGATTAGAGATACTGTAGCACAAATGCTAGCAGCTGCTATAGTGAACATACAGTGGCTTGCAAAAGTATTCGGCCCCCTTGAACTTTTCCACATTTTGTCACATTACAGCCACAACCATGAATCAATTTTATTGGAATTCCACATGAAAGACCAACACAAAGTGGTGTACACGTGAGAAGTGGAACAAAAATCATACATGATTCCAAACATTTTTTTACAAATAAATAACTGCAAAGTGGGGTGTGCGTAATTATTCAGCCCCCTTTGGTCTAAGTGCAGTCAGTTGGCCATAGACATTGCCTGATGAGTGCTAATGACTAAATAGAGTGCACCTGTGTGTAATCTAATGTCAGTACAAATACAGCTGCTCTGTGACGGCCTCAGAGGCTGTCTAAGAGAATATTGGGAGCAACAACACCATGAAGTCCAAAGAACACACCCGACAGGTCAGGGATAAAGTTATTGAGAAATTTAAAGCAGGCTTAGGCTACAAAAAGATTTCCCAAGCCTTGAACATCCCACGGAGCACTGTTCAAGC